TCACTTTCCCATCCCTGGGACAAATGCCTGAAAATCTATAATTTAAAGGAGAGGTTTATTTCAGCTCATGGTTTCCAGTGGATTCAGTCCATGGCCGTAAAGCAGAATAGCATGGTGAAAGGGCATGGAAGGGGAGTGCTGCTCATGTAATGTGGCCAGAGAGCAGAGGCAAAAGGGAAAACAGGATAAAAACACACATGCAGGTCATGCTTCAGTGACTGAACTCATCGGGGATGAATCCACTGATGAATATACACTCCCATGATCTAATCACCTTGCACACGCATGACACTTTTAGGTGACATTTTAGACCTAAACCGTAACATTCCACCCCAGTCCCCAAAAGACTTATGTGCATCTCATTGTATAAAATGGATCTCATTCGTCTCTAAGAGTTGTCAAAGTCTCAACAGTTCTGGCACTGCTGAAAAATCCAAGCCCAAAGTGACCTCTGAGCCTCAAGGCAAGCTCATAGCTGTGAGCCCCTGCAAAAGAAAGAAAGAAAGTTAAACACTGCTGACATTCAACAGCACAGGGCAAACATTCCCATTCCAAAAGGAAAGAATAGGGGAAAGGACAGAAACTGGGCCAAAGCAGGACCAAAAGCCAGCAGGGCAAACATTAAATACTGTAGCTGAATATCCAGCAACTGGGGCATGTTGCAGCGAGACCTGAGTTCCGAGGGGCTTGGGTGGCCCTGCTCCTATGCATTACTGATTGCAGCCCATGTGATTTCTCTGTTGGGCTGGCTCTGCTCACTGCCTGCAGCTTTCCTCTGCAGACATGTTAGGTTCCTGGTATGTCTAATGTCCTGAGATTTCCAATGCACTTTTGGGATTGAGCTCCCAGCTTCACGCATTACCCTCTCAAGGGCAAACTACCTGACCTCCAGGCCTTTTTCTGAAATCTGGGTGGATCCCTCCATAACCCCCTAACTCCCCCATTCTGCATGCCTATGAAACCATCACCACATAGGTGATGCCAGGATCTGCCACTTGCTCAAGCAGTAGCTGGGCTCCCCTCAATGGCCTCTGAGTCCCTAGATGTCTGAGCATGGGGAAATGAATCTCAGGGAACCTGTGCTCTAGACAAGACTTTTTGATCAGGAAGTCCAGGGACACAAATGAAAATTTTACACTGCTAGATTTTTAAATCTATGAAGGGTGGGATCTTGCTGATTCCTGAAGTGTCTTTAATTCACCTTATTTTCCTGACTCAAAGTATTTGGCTTCTTTTAATGCTAATCTTTTAGTAACTATGCTTTCCATGGTCCCAACTTTGCAGATGGTTCCTTTCTGATAAAATTGAAAGCTTTTTGTTCCTGATTTTCTAGATCTGGCTAAAAGCAGCTAGCAGTACCCATGGTACAGACTATATGTTGGGTTGCTTGGAACCCTCTGCCAGATTAATTAATCCACCACCCTGAATATCAGTCTCTCACAAAATACAGTGGTATCTCGATTTATGAACTTAATTATTTTATAATTTTGGGAAAGATGGCTGTGTTTGTGTTTGTGTAGGGATGATGTGCTCATGTTTGTCACTCAATGCATGGTTTGCAGATAGAAGCAAGATTTTGCCAAACGCTTTTGTTTGCTAACTGAATTATTTGCAAATAGAAGTATTCATGAGTCAAGATGCTACCATCTCAGGACACAGGTAAAATAAAGACAGATTTTCTACCAGTATGTAACACCCATGGCCTCTCCTCTAACTTCCAGTGGAGTCCTTGTTCCCAACTCAAACTTCCTGAGCCTGACCGTTCCTGTCTGCATTCCGATTAGCATTTTGTTTTGCGCTCCAACCTGAATCTCCCATCTATCTCTGCTTACTCTGCTTACAGCATTCTAGGTCTCTCTAGCTCACATTGCCAGGCTTTTCCAAACTCCTCTTGCAAACCATTTCCGAAGACTTCTGAACCATCTGATCAGATATAGTCACAGAAAGGATCTCACTTCTCTGGTGTCAATTTTCTGTATCAGTAACTTTCCCATGCTTGGGACCTAACACCCAACACCTGAAATTTAAGAGGAGAGGTTTATTTTGGTTCACAGTTTTTAAAGGATTCAGCCCATGGTTGGTTGACTCTAAGGCAGAACAGCATGGTGGAATAGCATGGAAGAGGAACTCTGCTCATCTCATGGCAGCCAGGAAGCAGAGAGATATGCAAGGAACTGGGGACAAGAATACACCCTTCAGATCTCACCCGCAGAGACCCACTCCAGCCGTTCCTCCTAACAGCGCACTCTCCTACTGAACTCATTAAGGATGAGTGCATCGATGAGTATAAAGCCCCATAATCAGGTCATCTCCCACACACACACGGCTTGAGGAAAGTATTTTATAGCTAAACCATAACATGATTTCACAGTGTATTTAATATTTTCCACCCTGACTTAGTACGAAGACTATTGTAATCAGGGTTTGCAAGGAAAAGGAATTAATAGAGGACATATAATTTATAGGACTATAATATTTACCCAAGTCAAATGCAAACAGTGTCGGAGGATCTGTCTACACACTAGAAATCCTAAGAATCCAAATGAGGGGGGCTGGGGATTTAGCTCAGCGGCATAAGTGCCTGCCTTGCAAGCAGGCAGTCGTGAGTTCCATCCCTGGTACCGATAAAAACGAAAAAAGACAAAAAAAAAAAAAAAAAGAATCCAAATGAGGGCCTGGATCCCATGGTAATGTCCTGCAGGAGTCCAGCTGAAGATCTAGATCCCATAGCAATGCCCCTAGGAGTCCAGCTGGAGGCCTAGAGCCTATGACAATGTCTCATGAAAAGTCTCTATCAAGGATCTGCACTGGGAAAGTCCAAAGGCCAGCAGTGGAAGCTAGAAAGGCTGCACCAGTGGGATGAAGGATCTGTGCCAGCAGCTGAGGGATCTGCACTGGAGCCAGGAAGCAGTGCTCAAAGTAAGGACCAGGGCTCCTCCAAAGTGAACCGCAGCTGTCCCCCGCCACAGCGAGGTCCTGAGCTCCTCTGATGATAACAGTTGAGTTCATATCAGGAAAGCCAGCAAGACAAGCTTCTCGAGGAGAACCAATAGCACCACCTCTTCCCCTCCAGTTCTCCTTTTTATGTTGGCAATAATCCTCAGGTGGGCCTTCCACACCAGCACCACACTGATTCAGTTCAGCTGAGTGTTGCAAACTGACCACTGGCTGTCAATCCACCACAGCTATGAAACCTTGCTAGCTAGACTTAGACCTTCATATTTTTTAAATTACTTTCATTCACTTGCTAATGAATGTAAACAATTTACTAAGCACCAAAACCGTGTTCAAAATTCATGAGACACAGTAAAATAAAAATAAGCCAGACACAGATAAATATATAAAAGAGTAAAATAAAATGACAGGAAACAAAAAAATAGGCTTTTTGGGAACAGGGAAGGGGATGGGGGGAGGCTAGCAAGGGGAATAAAAGGATCTAAAATGATCCAGGTAGTGTGCCTTACGTGTACCATTTCCCCAAGACAAATGTAGCTGTTATATAATGCAAGCATACTCTAGTAAAAAAAAAATATTTTCTTTAGAAAAAAACCTCAGCTAATAGTTTAAAAACTTGGCTAATAGTACAGTGAAAAGAAGGTAAACAAGAACCTTTCCTCATGGGACCAGTTGGAGGAATGCAAAAACAATGTGTTATCACATAAATTTGTTCTCACAGATTGAATTGCGTTAGATTTTATGAAGTTCAGAGTTCCAGGGAAAGGAGATTTGGAAAGGACAGGAAGCTTTCTCATACACTGATATTTTGGCCAAGGCATGAAGAAAGAATTGGAGTGAAGCGAGCAGAAAAACGAGGCACAGCCACTGCAGCCACACAGGAAAAGCCACTCGGGCATCTGCAGAAACGCGGGCAGCAGGAGTGCGGAGGCCTCGGGAGCTGCCAGGCTACTGCGGAAGGAGGCTGGGAGGGAGCCGGGTCAGCAGCGTCCGGGGCTAAAATACCCACCGCGGCTCTTGGTTTTCTTTCCTCGTGCGGTGTGAGTGCCCTGCGGAACATGACCTAGTTTGGTTTATCTCTGTGCAGGGGAGATGGGTGGGGCCCTTATGAAAACAGGAGCGGGGGAGGGAAGGGGGCGGTTGGAAGGTTTTGTGGTAATCCATCTGGTAGATGATGTGTCTGGGACTAGTAGTTCAGAGAAAGGAGAGGAAAGTGCATGGATTCAAGAGAGCCTTCAGAGGTAGAACAGCAGGCCACTGAAAACACAAACCTTTTTCTTGAGTTCTATTTATTTTTTTAATCTTGTGTCACTAGCAGTCAACCCTAGGACAAATGCTCCCTGCATCATGGTTTTAATAAAACTCCGATGTTTGATGATAGGGTGCTGATTACCTTTAGCTCAATTCAGAGATATGGTCAAAGGTTCTCTCAGCAGAAATGAGAAAGGAACGAAGATTGTCCCTTCAAGTCCTGGGTGGACTTTTCTTGCTTCTCCAGTAGTAGAACAGAGGTATTAAGCAGCGGTGATGCTGGGTTTTTGGAGTTGGACCACCTGGGTTTACATCCTGACTGAACTGGAATTTTAACTATAACCTTGGGCAGATTATTTAACTCTTCTAAACCCTGGCTTCAAAAGGGAGATACAATTCCCACTTCCCACATTCCTGAGAATGAAATGACTGATGTACAATGCTTGCTCACAACAGATGTGCAGTAACTATTATCTCTCTCAGTTCACAAACGCCATCCTGGTAATCTACACTATCCAGGTTGTTCGCTAATCCTAAAAATAAGTTTTAACAATTGGAAGAATTTAACTCGACTCTTTCCATTTCCAGAGGGAAAAGTCACAGACCAGGGAAAGATTTGCTGGAGGACAAACACTCACTAGGTGCTCTGAACACGTGACGCCTTTTCACCACACACGCTTCTCCAGGCCTTCTCTATGTTTCCCTGCAAGGCTGTGTGAGCTCTCCGTCTATTGCTGCTACTTCCTGCTACAGGAACCTGGTGGCTCACGGTGACCTTCTGTTCTCTTCGCCAGTTACACACTATGGGAAAACTTCCTGGAACCAGAATGGCAGAGTTAAAAGCCAAGTACATGCTGCTGCACGACACGGTGATGAGGTGCGTGGCTTATGTAATAACTCAGACCCCGGTATAAAATCCAAGGAAGCAAGAGACTGAAATTGGGGAAGCAAAGGCTTTATTAGACCAGGCCTGGTGACGAGTCTCCTGGAGCCAATTTGGAGACTGCGTGCCAGAGACTGAAGGGAGGACCTTAAAAAGAGGCTGGAGGAAAAGTGGGGGGAGAAACAAAGAAACCTGCAGAGCCATCAAACTTGTTGACCCGAATCTGGAAACTGTATAGCTGTCCACTTAGTTCTGACAACCTTGGGAGCCTTTGGCGCCTTTTGAGTTACTCTCATCCTGCAGATAAGAATTATCTGCAATAACATTTGGAGAAGAAAGTAGAAAGCTAATTATCTCAGGACAGCTCGTTAACACTAACAGGTGGGAAGGGGTCGAAAGTTATAAGAAGCTAAAACTTAAGCCTTCACAAGGATTTGGAACTTAACCCTTTTGGTGCATTAGGGTTAAGCCACATCATTTTCCTGTAATTTCTTTGAAGCTAAGGCACATTTTATGACAGACCACCACCGGGTTGGGAAGAGGTCACCAAAAACCCAAAATCTTTATGGCCTAGCCTAGATAGATAGGTAAGGGGAGAGGGGAGGCAATAAGGCGCCATACAGAACAGAAAATGGCGGCTATGTTTTTCTTTCTTTCTGGGGAGGGGGATCAAGGTCAGGTAAAGGGTTATGCTAATAAGCAAATCTCCCTGCACACAAGCAAGTTACTTCAAACAAGTGTAAATTAGAGGGCCATCCTAACAGTGATTAACAACCCTTGTTAGCTTATTTTAGCACAACTTCTGTAGTTTGTAGAGGGCAACAATGGTTAACATATCAATTAGGTAAGGTTTTACAATTCTTTACAGAGAAGAGCATTGATTAACATATCAATTAGGTCATCCAAAGACATAAGAAGGAAAACACATACAGTAAGCCCATGTTACAGGTTTTGTTATAATGCACATATAACGAAGCTATTTTCTTAGAGTACAACATTCCCCACTGATTTTAGTCAGTGAGTCAAATCATTGACTCATTGACATCTGTTTATAACCTTACATGTGTCTTTAAAATCATAAGATTTTAAGATCTTTGACATAGTTTATCAACTTGTTTACAATACAAGGCCCAGTAGGAGGATTAACAAAGGTCTTGCAGCTGTCATTAAAGCTGTTAACGAAAAGGAGAAAGAAAACCAACATTTAAATTTACTCTGTTTTATCATACAAGTAACAATTTTTAAGTCAGACAGAGGCCTCCTCGAGGTCTCTACAAAGGAGGAGAACATAAAATTATCAGTTATATTAGACAATTTTAAGCTTTAAAGTGTCCTTTAAAAAAATGACAGTTCACTTATCCGCAGACTTATTGTCTTTTGAAGCCTGGACCTGCTTGCAGTAGGAACAATGAATCCAGGCAGGCTTTCAGCTACTTTGACAGTCCACTGCAGCTCAAGAGATTCACGGTGAGGTCGCTTGTCCAGGTGTCTAGGCTCTCCAGCTCACAGTGGGCAGCAGCGAAATAACCAGTGGATGGAAGTCAGAGCTAGCTGAAAAGTCTGGGGGGGACTTAATAAGATCTTGATTAGTTAAATCAGCTAATTTTTTAGAAACCTTTAAGGATAAGAGGAAGGTCTCTCACACAAAACCTCAAAAGACGAAATATCTGCAACATAGGGGGTGCATCACGCACGCAAAAGGGCAAAAGAAAAGAGACTCACCCAGTTTTCGCCAGTTTTTAAGGCCATTAGTAATTATGGTCTTTAAAATCTGACTTATCTTTTTACCTCTTCTGAACTCTGAGGCCGGTAAGCCCAATGGAGTTTTCTAATTGATCTGCAAAGCTTAGGTTAATTTGAGTTACTAGGCTATAAAAGCCAGGCCATTGTCGGACCCCACGGATAAAAAGGGAGACCAAATCAGGGAAACTGCTATCAGAGCTGACTCAGACTAAGTAGAAAACGCTTTTACCCATCTAGTGAAAGTATCAACCATCATAAGTAAACACTTATATCCTTGAAATTTAGGCCTTTTATTTTTGTAAAATCTATTTTTCAGTGTTTTCTAGGCATAGTCCCATGATAACCAGTGGTTTCTATTTGTTGCAGTACTTTTGGAATTACCAACTGGCACTGAGGGCACCTGAAGCTCACAGACTGGGCTAGCTTGATATTAGCCCCCGGGGATCTCTCGGAAGTTGAGCTACCAGATGCTGGTCTTTTTAAGTGCAAATGCGCTCTGACAAAGAAAGTAGGTGGGATCAGCAGTAATGTCAAGCTTATCTCAATCCCCACTGATTTTGGGGCTTTTTGGCTGTCTTTTGGAAGGTGGCATTTGCCAAATTATTTTCCCGTATAACAAGATCATCTTCTGCCCAATGGCTTATACAGCAGATAGTAGCCACTCTCCTTGGCATCTAGATGGCAGCCAACAAGTCTAATTTTGGGAAGCATTTTTAATCTTTTGACCCCAGAAGACAATAAACACCATTTTTTGATAAAGACACCTTGGGGCCTCAGTGTGGGCAATGAGTTTAGCCCACTATGCTGATGTCTCTGGCTCTAAGATTTGTTCCCATAGAACCTGAGAGTGTATAACGGTAGCTCCTGCGACCCACTTACCTTGATAGACACGTAACTGCTTCTATCGGAGAAGTAGGATGGAACTCCAGATGGTGACTTGTTTGCTAGATCAGGTCGAAATCCCGTGAGGTGATCAATGACCTCAGTACAATTGTGGTGAGGCAACAAGGCGTCGTCCTCAGCCAGCAAAGTACCGAGTTTGAAGCCGCTGTTTCCAGAAATAGTGCTGATAATGTACGGCTCGGGAGTTAGACATCCATCAGTCTGGCGGGGCCTTGATGAGAATCTCCAGCGAATAGGAGGAAACAATTAAGAGTTTGTGTCCAAAAGTCAATTTTTAAGCCTCCTTTATGAGGGGGCCACCAAGGAAATCACCACAGACAGGGTGCCCATCTGGCTGCCACAGAATCAAGTCTCTTGGAAAGATAGGCAACAGGCCTCTGCCAGGGTCCCAAACTCTGGATCAGTCCTGTGGCTCCTAGAAATTTTGCACTTGCCTTTTAGTCACAGGGACTGGAATCTGTTGGATGGCTCGCAACAACCAGTGCAGTCTTTCTTTGTGTAGACTGGTTCTGACAAGGTCAGAGGGACTAGCATCAGAGCAGTTATTTTCTCGGTTGGCCCCTCTGATGTGGTCCTTACTTTTCGAGCGGCCTGATCTGCCAAATTGTTTCCTAGTGTGAATAACAGCAACCCACTGAGGCAGCTAGACTGCTGCCAGCAAGTCTAGGATCTGTGGAACATTTTTTTTATCTTAGTCCCGGCTGAGGTTAAGAGACCTCGCTCCTAATAGATGGCTCCATGTACATGTATAGTAGCAAAAGCATATCTACTATCAGTATAGATGTTTACCCTCTTTCCCATGGCTAGTTTTAGCACCTCAGTCAAAGCAATGAGCTCCACCTTTTGGGCAGAGATGTCAGGCTCTAACTGCTTAACCCAGAGTACCTCCTTTTCGGTGGTCACTGCTGCCCCGGCCACTCATCTGCCTCTGCCATTCTGGATGAAGGTGCTTCCATCTGTGAAATTCCTCAGGTCATTGTCAGGCATAAGGGTGGCTGGGTTTAAAGCTGAAGAAGTCTTGAAAACTACCGACTCTGGGTCTAGGAGCAGGGCCTAATAGTATGAAATTCTAGTGTTTGAAAGCCATTTTTTGGGAGAGGTTTTGATAAGAGTCTCTAAACTGTGGGAGGTCACTACAGAAATCTTCTGTCTAAAAGTGAGTTTCTTAGCCTCTTTTAGTAGCATTGCCACAGCGGCCAGAATTTTTAGGCATGGAGGCCACCCTCCTGTTACTGGATTGAGCCTTTTGGAAAGATAGGCTATAGGCCTTTTCCAAGGGCCAATGTCCTGGGTTGGGACTCCTTTGGCAATGCCCCTGAGTTTATCTATGAATAAGGTGAATGGCTTGGTAACATCAGGGAGTCCCAGGGCTGGGGCCTCTGTCAAGGCCCACTTGAGCTGCTGCAAGTTCCGTTCACATTTATCAGTCCAGTTCAGTGAGTTTTTCCCTTAAGGGAGTCATATAGAGGGTGAGCTGTTTCAGTAAAATTTAGAATCTACAGCCTGCAGTATCCGACAGCTCCCAGAAATTCGCGCACCTGTTTCTTAGTTTCTGGGGATGGGATCTGCCATATAGCCTGCACTCTTTCTTTAGACAAAATCCTCTTTTTTCTGCAATTTGTAGCCCAAATAAGTCACAGCGTGACCACACAATTGGGCCTTTTTAGCTGAGACTTTATAGCCCAATCGCCCCAAAGTCCTTAACAGTTCCTCAGTTGCCTCTCGACAAGCTTACAAGCTTCTGGGGGGGTCGGGGCTATTAACAAGTCATCCATGAACTGCAGGAGCACTATCTCAGGGTGTTCTTCCCTAAATTCCAAAAGATCTCTTGCTAATCCCTCATCAAAAAGAGTGGGAGAGTTCTTGTAACCCTGAGGTAAACATGTCCAGGTCAGCTGTTCCTTTACCCCTGTATCTGGGTCAGTCCATTTGAAGGCAAAAAAGGGGTTGACTCACCGGAGCAAGAGGCAAAGTGAAGAAAGCATCTTTCAGGTCCAGAACCAAGTACCAGGTGTTCTCTGGATTGAGGAGGCTGAGCAGGGTATAAGGATTTGACACTGTTGGGTGCAAAGTCAAAACTCGTCTATTAACTTCTTGGAGATCCTGTACAGGGCGATAGTCTTTTGTCCCTGGCTTGTGGACTGGAAGCAAGGGCATGTTCCAGGGAGAGACACAAGGAATGAGAATACCATTGTTTCTTAGCCTCTGTATGTGGACTTTAATCTCTTTCTGGGCCTGCAGGCTTGTCGGGTATTGCCGCAAGCAGATGGGGCATGCTTGGGGTAAGAGTTCCACCATAAGGGGAACCTGGTTAATTGCTAGCCCTGGAGGGTTGTTTTCTGCCCAGGCTTCTGGAATCTCCTGTTTCCATTTACTTAACAGTTTTAACTCTAAGTCAGTTTGTGATGGCTCAGGTGCACCAGCCAGATTTCCCAGTAGATGGTAATTTTTCTGTTTTAAAAGACCTTTTGTGCTATCTCTATTAACTGGCTGAGGGGCATTTTCTCAAAACTCTCAAACCTTTGTAATTTTTGTCTAACATGTGGGGCCAACTGAGTTGCAAAGAAAACAACTGGGGATACTAGGGAAACCTCCTTACCTCTGGATGTCCAATCGGGGTGGGACAAAAGGAAAACATGGTTTTGGCATTCCAGATCAGAGAGCAGGCTTCTTCTGGATGGCACACCACCTTTTGTCCCAGGGTGCCACGTGGCAGGCCATCATTTTACTGAAACTACATACTTAACAAAAAGAGGCTTTTTTATAGGTAACAAAATTGTGTTGCATAATCTCCCAGATGTTCACAGCACATGCAAGAACTTGTATCTTATCTCTATTATCACCCATAATCTCATTTTAATGGAAACACTTTGCAGCAAAGGTTTACCAATCTTATAAATAAATCTGCCAAAACTGTTCTAATACTGTCAAATTCTGAACACATTTACTTCTTGTCAAACCTGTTATTTTCAGTACTATAGACCAAGACAAATAAAATTCACATCCTCTCGAGCTTTCTATAACTTACAATATACCCCCAAGTTTTATCTTCTTTCACATTCTGGCACAGCCAGACATTTTTACTTGAAGACAAACCACTTTCTTTGTCCCTCCTTTTTTACTATTACCAGTCAACTACCTTTCCTCTCATTTCTTAGACAACATTAAAACTCTCAGCAAAACCCTTGAACTCACCTTTTAGTAGTCTAAAACATATTTAATTATTTTGTGTCTTTTTACCACATTAAAATGTTGTATTTAAAAAAAAACTGTAACCTTTTAACTGGCTCAATTACAGTATGACCTGGTTTTTACTTGGTAAAGTTGATATGATTCTTAAAAACCATAAATATACACATATATGTGCACATATGTTTACATTTTAACCAGAAAGAAAAATACTCCTTTTAAAAGGCATGCCGAGGTTGCAAGCAATCAATTGAGGACTAAAATATTAAACATGGCACCACAACATTAAAGACACAAACAAAGGTTGTTTCATGCACAGTTTGGTGAGCTAAAGGAAATAGTTTTTTTATTATTATGAACCTTGAGTCTACTAAGCCGTATGGATCCTGCAACAGAAATGGACAACAAGCCCTAAGTTAGTAACAAATTTAAACAGGCAAACAATTCTAAAGTACAAAAACACTGCACATCAATATCTAAATCCCTCTGTCCATTTTGGGCTCATAGAAGGGGTTCCTAGGAGAGAATGTTCTGTTAGATTTGGGGTAACCAAAAGGAGAACAATTAGAACAAATGGACACACAAATTGACATACAAGACAAGACAAGCTGCAGCAAAATGGCCTTTGCTCAAAAATTAGTCAAATTTTGGGATCTGGAGGAATTAACAAATTAACCAACCAACGGAGTGGTTCCCCACCTGGGGCAGAGTCACAAATGGATGGAGATGAGTCCCAAAAACCAAAAACCAAAAAACCAATTGACTCTGTCCTCGGGAGGTTCCCACTCCCCAAATTGAGGGCATCCCCTCAAAATTACAAATTGACTGCGGCCCAAACAAACCCTCCAGAGTACTTACTTTCAAATGTTCAGAAATGAGTCTGGGGTCTTGCTCCCATCCAGGGCAAGCCCCCAAATGTAATAACTCGGACCCCGGTATAAAATCCAAGGAAGCAAGAGACTGAAATTTGGGAAGCAAAGGCTTTATTAGACCAGGCCTGGTGACGAGTCTCTGGGAGCCAATTTGGAGACTGCGTGCCAGAGACTGAAGGGAGGACTTTAAAAAGAGGCTGGAGGAAAAGTGGGGGGAGAAACAAAGAAACCTGCAGAGCCATCAAACTTGTTGACCCGAATCTGGAAACTGTATAGCTGTCCACTTAGTTTTGACAACCTCGGGAGCCTTTGGCGCCTTTTGAGTTACTCTCATCCTGCAGATAAGAATTATCTGCAATAACATTTGGAAAAGAAAGTAGAAAGCTAATTATCTCAGGACAGCTCGTTAACACTAACAGGTGGGAAGGGGTCGAAAGTTATAAGAAGCTAAAACTTAAGCCTTCACAAGGATTTGGAACTTAACCCGGTTGGTGCATTAGGGTTAAGCTACAACATTTTCCTGTAATTTCTTTGAAGCTAAGGCACATTTTATGACAGACCACCACCGGGTCGGGAAGAGGTCACCAGAAACCCAAAATCTTTATGGCCTAGATAGATAGGTAAGGGGAGAGGGGAGGCAATAAGGTGCCATACAGAACAGAAAATGGCGGTTATGTTTTTCTTCCTTTCTGGGGAGGGGGGTCAAGTCAGGTAAAGGGTTATGCTAATAAGCAAATCTCCCTGCACACAAGCAAGTTACTTCAAACAAGTGTAAATTAGAGGGCCATCCTAACAGTGATTAACAACCCTTGTTAGGTTGTTTTAGCACAACTTCTGTAGTTTGTAGAGGGCAACAATGGTTAACATATCAATTAGGTAAGGTTTTACAATTCTTTACAGAGAAGAGCACTGATTAACATATCAATTAGGTCATCCAAAGACATAAGAAGGAAAACACATACATACAGTAAGCCCCTGTTACAGGTTTTGTTATAATACACATATAGCGAAGCTATTTTCTTAGAGTACAACAGCTTAGCAATGCTCCCCGTGTCTCTGGTTGTGGTAACAGGGCCTGTGTTTGTTCATGTTCCCACCAAAGCAGACCCCGAGGCAAGGGTCTGAGTTCAAGGCATTTGAGAAACGATTTGAGCCCATGTGAAACTGGGAAGGGAGGAGTCCTGCTGGCCTGGAGTAAACAGGGTTTTGTACTGAGGGCAGCGGAGACCAGAAAGGAGGAAAATGCTGGTCCCACTCTTTCTAGCACCTTCCAGCCTCCTCCTTCCCTTTCCCCAGTGCCTGCCTCCATGGCTTGTCTTGTGTCCTCAACAGGATCCAAACAGAGACAGCAGAGTTAGAGCTCCACCCAACACTGGCCGCTGTCCTCTTCCAACCCTGACTCCTACCTTGACCCCTACTGACCCCTACAGCTACTTTTGCTCCACTGGAGGCTGTGGGCTGCTTTGCAGGGGAGGGTGAGAGGGTGCACTCACTGATGCACCTTTACTAACTCAGCTCAGATCTGGGCCTTAAGAGTCCAGTGGATTCCTGCCCTGAGCCCTGCTCCTCCTTCTCCCTCCCCCTCTCCGTCCCCTTCTCCTCTTTCCCTTTTCCCCCTCAAGACCCCCAGCAAGCCAGATCCTCACCTTCACCCACAGAGCTCCCCTCTGAGTCAGTCCAGTCTGCAGAGTGTAGTTCTGCAGAGTGGCATGTCTGGGGACATCTTTTCCTACTGCCCCATAACCAAAGCTCTGCATAGATCTCAGCTTCCTCTGAAGCCTCTTTACAGCTGCAGGGAGCTTTGTAGTCCTTCTCACCCCTGGATGGCTCAGATCTAGACCCCAGGGGAGCTCTTCAAGGTGCAGACTTGGTTTCCTTCCCAGCCCACAGTGCAGGGCCCAGGCGATCATGTTATCTCCTCCTGCTTCCAGGTTGCGCTGGGAAACAGTTGCTTCCCTTCTGCTACCTGAATTTCCCGTCTTCCTGACCCCTGGGTTCCCGGAAGGGCAGGAGGAGGTAGAGTCTGCCGTCCCGCTGGGCTGCTGCACCACACACAGGCTGGAGATGCAGAGCTGAGACGAATGACTTCAGCTTTCAGTAACAGAGAATGGATGTGCTGTCATTAGAGACGCTGTTGCCTTTGGGCCCCTGACAGCGCCTGTCATGAGAAATGTTTGCTGGATGCCGCACGGCACCAGAAACCCTGGGAAAATGGGGCTAGCTGGTCACTTCCACTGAGATGGGCTTGGTCAGGGTATGGGCAGCTCTGCAGTGAGCCAGAACCTGGTGGGCCACACTACCTGGAGAATCTGGCCTTTCAATCCCAGCTGGCCTCCCTGGCCTCTCTGAATAGCAGAGGTGACTGTTGTGGGCATTTCAAGAAAGATGCATCAAGTCTGCCAGTAAAGCTGGAGCTGAGGCTCGCTCCTGCATGGTGAGTTCTAGAAAGTCCTGGGGAACTGATCAAGTATAATTTCCTGCGTCTGTGCAGATCCACCTCTACCAGCTGCTCAGCCCCTTTGCCTTCTCCAAAGAACTGCTGTGATGTTCAAGCATACTTGCCTCGAGATTAGAATAAAAAATAATGTATGCCCATAATTTTGTAGGGATTTTTTTCTACCTGATCTGCTAATAACATGCTATTAGAAAGGTTTCTTTCTGGTAGTTTTCTAAAAAGGAAAGATCTTCTTATAGTTGTGTTAGAAGAATTAAAGAAATCCAGCACTGCTGGGGTATTGGGAGAGACCCACTCATTTCCCCTTCCCTGGAGGATGTGGTCATTCTTCACAGTCAGGGGAAGTGTGTTGTCCTTCTCAGTGGCCTTAGACATAGCCACTAATTAATAAATAGTCCCCTCTCCCCACTGATGAACAATGTGAGGCCAGGCCTTGGCCCTTGTTGACCTCAGCATCAAGTGGCCCCCAAATATCACTGAGGTGGATGAGCCCAGGGGCGGGGAGCAGCTGTGGACACACTTCTCACTGTGTGTGTCACTCTCCTCCTGTGACTAGTACTCAAGAGTCCGAGGTCCAGCTGCTACAGAACGCCAAGCGCTTCACCGAGCAGATCCAGCAGCAGCAGCAACACCTGCAGCAGGCGGATGGTTTCCCCGAGGCACTGTCCACCGAGGTCTCCAAGATGCGGGAACAGCTGCTCAAGTACCAAAATGAGTACAATGCCGCGAAGGAGAGAGAGTTCCACAACCAGTACCGACTAAGCAGGTAGGCGCGCGGGTTCCGCACACCCCCAGGGGAGCAAAACCACTTCTATAACAATCAGAAAGACCAAGGAGGGAGCCACTTTGGGTCCAAGCAATTGCAAGCTCAGTTCTTCCCCGATTCCCTGGGATGAGCAGTCCCCAGACAACTTCCAGCTTCTAGGAAACATAACATAGGCATGTGGAGGGTGTGTGGGTATGTGAAACCCTAGGCTCGGAGAGCTTCAGCCACAAAATACCCTCCACCAACAAGGTCCTGGCACTGTCCCATCCCCTGCCTGCCCAGGCTGTGGGTCCTGATCCATCTCGTGCATCTGCTCTGTGGCTCCCGGATCACTTGACGACTTGTCGCGTGATCCTATGTGCTCTCCACACGGAACTCGCTTCTTCTAAAACAGCAAAGCACAGACCACAGATGCAACCTTCATTCTCTCTTATTAAACTATTTCTTAGGGACTGAGGAAGGAAGTGACCTTCTTCTGGAAGACACACCCATTTACCCACCAGAGAACCTTTAGAGAACTAAAGCTGAAATTTGCTGCTAGAAGGGCAAATGATATTTCCCAAGTCCCTAACATTCTTCCCATGGAGCCGAAGAGTTTGTTCCCCGTCTCACCCTTCACATCAAATTGCAAAATGATGCAGCACAGGTTTAATGCTCTATGCTGTGTCCTGGCACCAAAAAGCCAACCCTTCTCTTCTAGAATTCGTTACCATTTAAGGTGGCAGAACGTTCCCTGCTGTTTATAAGAGGAGAAAGGTTACTGCCAGTGCAGAGAAAACTCAGAGTTGCCCAGAGACAAGCGAATGACCTGAGAAGTCCCCCAAACCTTGCAAGCCCTAGGGTTGAAGATCACGTCTGGGGTCTGCTTGTTCAACTGAGGGGTAGATAAAGAAGGCCAGTTTAGAAACAGAACTCTGTTCTGAGGGGCAAGAAATCAGAGGTGGTTTTTCTTTTTTTCATCTCTCAATCTAAACTTGTTTCAGACTCACCAGTGAGAGCTATATAAAGAAAGCGTAGCTATTTCTGTGCTCTGTAAGCACTCTTTCAGCTGAGAAAATAATGCAATCAAAACAATTGGCGGTTGTTCATTAGCACTGAAAACATGAATGCTTGACATTTCGTCAAAGGGTAAAAGGAACATAAGTCCAGTGGATATTTAAATTGTTTCAAATTTCCAAGCATTCCTGCCAAGGGGAGGGAGAAGCTCAGAATGCTTGCCTTTTAGGTGCAGACAGACAAATTGTTCACTGCCTCTTAGGATGGACAGAGGGATCCGCATGGTGACTTACAGTGAAGCAGAGCATTCCAAACGCACGTGTATGGGAACGGTTAGTGTGTGTCCTTCAGACTGTGTGACTTCAGATTTTTTAGCTCCCTTGCATTCTCAAAGATGAGCAGTGCAAGAATGAACCAGCTTATTTTCATAAAAATAATGGTGATCCAAACGGGAACGGCAGGAAAGAATCCTAGGCCGTGCACTGCAGGGGCTCAACATGCCTAGTACCACGCAGAACAGAAATAAACACACTCGCCACCCTGCAGGAGGAAGGCACATCGTTCCATCGCCAGATAAAAATACAGAAAGGAGGCCAGTGAGAGAAAGCTATTCATGCACATATACAGATGCTGTTTGTCAGCCCAGTACAATAAACTCTCATTTTATTCAATCTCTCCCTGACGGAAGCCCAAATAACTTAGCAAGCCTCCGCCTGGCATCTTTAGGAACTTCTGAATCACCATGAAGAACAACATATTGTTCATGTAATCTGGGGAAAGGATTTCACTCTATAATTTAGTCACTTCTTCTGTTTTCACATAATGTGAACTCTCTGATAAATGCTAATGGTCGGTCAACTATGGGCTTGCTTAATAATTATGTGCCACAATAGCCTTAAGTCTTAGGGTAATAATCACCGATGCCCTTTGACAAATACACTTCAGGAAGGTCCTGAAGGTCCTGTTTAAATAAACTAAGTAAATATATGTTGACAAATAATGAAGTAGTGAAATAAATGGCATTGAAAACTTATTCTTGGAGCAAAGTGGAAGCAATTCTCTTTCCATAAACTTTTCTCCAGAACAAGACTTCAGTATTCTCTTTAGCCTTTTCCTTGCCTGGCTTGGTTACCTCTGGGGGCTGCCCATCAGATTTGGGTGGTGACTGTACCAGGGCTCTCCTGCTAAGCCTGGGATGGTTTTGGCTGGCAGAGGAGACAGGGCCGTGGCCAACGTGCGCTGTCTGTCACAGAGTGGGCATGGGCGTGGGGGCCCTGAGCTGTGAACGTGCAGGGCTGCCCTGAGGTGACCCTGACCTTAGCGAGCGTCTCCCTCCCTCCTGTGGTTCATGCATCTCCACTGTGCACATGAGTGCAGTAGCTGTTTCCCTTCCTTCTGCCGGCAAGGACATCATCGGGGGACCAGGAAACATACAGAGCTGGTAAGGAAGGCGCAGGGGCTGATGTTAGCAGTTAGCAAGGTCCTGGATTTCCCAAGGCTGGGAGGTGACAGCGAGGCCTGCAGGAGTTGGGAGGAAACACTTACACCTTCTTTGCTCGCTTCAGGGCTGTCTGTGTCTTACCAGAAAGAGATGTGCCTGAGATACTTAAAGGTCAGATCCGCTCCAAATCTACCCAAACCCCCTGTCCCCGCCACGCAGCATCTCAGTTAGTCACAGACTCCCTAGGTGATTCCAATTCACAGTTTGAGAACTGTTTCCCAAAGCAGGTCTTCACCCTGGATGCATCTCAGAAACCCTTGACTCTGCCTGAGTGACCATCAGTCTGTGCCCCGATACTTCCGAGGACAGGGAACCTTCAGCACCCCCAGAGGCCTCCCGGCTTTGGGGGGCCTCTACACTAAGCGCTTTCCCAGGTTTGCTTCAGGACTCCTCCTCACAACTTCTGCGCAGGGGACTTCCTGAGAACATGGCGGACAGACAGCAGCAGCTACTGAAGGCTCTCTAAAGGCTCGGCTCAGAGGCCAGGAATGATGCGGACTAAGGAGATACGAACCAGTAGAGATATGCTCTGCTGACTCAGGAACGAACTGGGCTGAGAGAATCTAACTTAGAATACAGTCCTGGCGCTAAAATAGGAACAGAAAAATCTCGGTGTGGAGGCTCGACCCCGCGCCATTGGAAACCGCGGTTTGGATTTCCCGCCGCCCGGCGGCTGGCTGCCTCCACAGCGGCTCGGCAAGGAGAGACGCGCAGAAGCTCGGGAACGAGAGTCTGCGAACGGAGTCGGAAACAGGACGGACAAGGAGGAAAACTGACTGGTGGCAAGGTGAGCGAGAAACTGACTCCCTACCACAGTTTGACTCCAGCGGAGGTTTTTCTGGGCTCGGGCAGTCCTGTAAGAGCAGGGCTCGGTGACAACTCCAGCCGCACATTCCCCTCTCGGACGGGATTGGTGAAAGGTGCCTGGCCTGAGTGACGCTGCTGGCGGACTCCCTAGGCTGGCCTAACCCAGATCCCAGAGCCTGACGGTGGCCCGGAGGAGCGACTGACTCCCGCGTAGGCTGCCTCCTCCGCAACTCCCTGGGGCGCAGCGGTGGGCGGGAACAACTAGCCAGCGCAATTTGACCAGGCTGTGGCTGACAGGCAGGGAAGCCGGGCTCCTATGTAAGATTGCATTTTATAAGGAACAGAAAATATGGGGAAGGGAAGCAACAAAAAAGGCTCCTCGGCCCCCAATCCTGAGAAACAGGCAATAGTGGACACCGCACCAATATACATTAAGCACCATCTAGAGAGCCTCATAGACCAATTCAGGAATGAAGTTATCAATGACCTGAAGCTAGAAGTATGCAGAATAGTTAGAGAAATGCTAAGCACCACCCAGGAAAAAGCAGATGGTGGAATGGAAGAACAGAAAAAGAGGGGAGAATTGCTTGATGGAGAAAACAGAGAAAGCATTGAGTATGTGAAGTAGGTTCAAAGAGACTATCAAGAAATTAAGAAGTCTATGCAAGAATGGCATAACAGCTTGAAAGAAACTAAGGACAGACTATCTGAATTGGAGGGCAGACTTGAAACATGGGAGAATGAAATGAAAAACTTCTTAAAAATAACAAAGAAACACACAGCAATAATACAAAGACAAGAAGATGATAAGAGGAGCCATAACTTAAGGATTAAGAACATAAAAGAAGAAGTAGGGACACAAACAAGTGAACTACAAAAGCTACTCACAGAAATAATCCAGGAGAATTTTCCTAATTTAGCAAAAGGTAAAGATACTCAGATGTATGAGGCATACAGGACCCCAGCTACCTACAACCCTAACAGAGAAACACCCAGGCATATAATAATAAAAATTCCAGAAATTCAATACAAGAACAGAATATTAAAAGCTGTAAGAAACAAGAAACAGATCACTTACAAGGGAATACCCATCAGAATTACAGCAGATTTCTCTTCACAAACCATCAAATCACGAAGAGCATGGGGAGAAATAATTCAAGCTTTGAAAGATAATAATCTCCAGCCAAGATTGAGATATCCTGCACAACTGTCCCTGGAAATTGATGGAAAAACGAGATGCTTCCAGGATAAAGAGGAACTGGGGGAATTTGCAACCACCAATTCAACCCTACAGAAAGTATTGCAGGATATTCTAAAAAAAGAAAAATACAAAGAACCCAGAAATAGTGGCGGGGAGGCCACAACGAATGGAGCAGAGAACAAAATGAAGAAGACAAACTGACAGCTACTGACAGAAAAAGAGCTCAATAGAAATGAGACAGAGAAGATTGGATGATAGGAACAGCTTTTTTTGGAGAAAATGACATCTTAATAGGTAATGCTGATTTAGTACCATCTTGTTTTGAAGTCTCATCTAGCTTTTGTTCTTCTGTCTCCAATGGTCTAAACAGGTTGTATCTTATTGGATTTTGTTATGTACGATAGTATAAGCAAAAACCTTTTAAAGACAAGGAGATTATACAGAGACCATTGTTCATTTTCTGTTAGTTGATTCTAAATACTCTATAATGCTGTC